TTCTTGCTATGAGTTGCATCTTAGCAAACCCTCATCATCACCTTCATTATCACCTGGATCAGCTGCCACACTATCATTAATCTTTGCAGACACCACATTTGCTGCTATAAATAGAATGAACAGCCTACGAACAAAGCAAAGATACGAACTACATGTACACTTTGTTGTACACTTTGTGTACATGTACACTTTGAGAAAGCCATGGCAGCATTCTTTCATGAAAAAAAAATGATGCGTCTCAGTGTTACAAGGCAGAGCTGTAAAAAAAATAGTTATGTCCACTTTAACCCAAACTTTGTACTTCTTTGTCTTTTTTTTGTAGAAGAGGTGTTTTGTGACCTCTTTTCAAATTACCAAGCTGTCTGAACCTATTATTCATGAAATGTGGCTCCTTATCTCAGTCACAATCGTAGGCAAACACAATTTGTTATTACAGGAAGCAGTAACTAACTAGTTAAATCTCATTTAGTATCAACAACCTCCATCACACCTTTTCTTGCAGCTGTTTAAGAGACTTGCATAACCTAAAATCATGATGCTCCCTGCACCATGCTTAATAGTGTTGTGCAGTGTTTTTGGTCATTGCTTCTTTTTTCTCAACTCTTAAAACTCCTTCTGATAAAAGGAGAAAGTCCTTGATTTTCTCCATTCGTAGACAGCTGCATTCTATAATGCTTCTTCTGGAAGTTAATGGCACTGAGTCATGGTTGAAAGCAGTTTTTATATAGTTACCAGAGACCATTTTTGTGCTTTATCTCTGTCCAACACCACAGTAAATTTTAAATTAAACAATCAAGACGTGACTGAAGTGCAGACTTTCACCTTTAATTCAAAGGTTTTTGAAAAAATAATGCATTAACTCTTTAGGAATTACAGCCACTTTTATACACAGTCCTCCATTTTCAAATGCTCAAAAACACCAATTGGCTAAAAAGCCGTTTCAGTGAGTCCCCTTGTTATTTTATGACAAATAAAGCAGACATAATATCTGTAATTTTAAAGAGGAGACCCAAAGAGATATCAGTGCAAATGAAGGAGGCCATCATTAGGCTGAAAACCTAAAATACACCTATCAGAGTATAGGTAGAGATATCACTGTTAAAGTCTGTAATCAAGAGGTGCCTTCATGAATGGAAATACAGAGAGCTTACAACAAGGTCCAAAGCACTGGTTACGCTCAAGAACTGGAAGGTCAGGTTAAACATTACTAAGAATAAAAAAAGAGCCTGCACAGTTATGAAAAATATTGTAAAGATGAAATTGAGTTTAACTTGGACATGTAGACAACGTCCTCCGTCAAACATGGTGGAGACAAAGAACTGAGTCACTAGTGTTTATTGAAGGTGTGACTGCTTATAGAAGTGGCACGATGAATTGTGGAGATACTGACCGAAAACATCGAGGGAAAACTATTTTAGCATAATCGAGTCTGGCTGTAACTGTGACTTAGTCAACATTTTATAAGCTTCAGCTGACTTCTGAAAGTTTTCTTAATCATTGGCAAAAGAAACACAAATAATTAGCAACCAATGAAACACAGATTGTTTGACAAGTGGCCTCAATATATCTGAAAGATCCTGGAATTATTTATATACACTATGATAAGCTTCAGTACATTTCAACCACACTAAACCAATGAGCACACACATTGTAAGTTACACACCTTGAGTCCACTCCACTTTCTGTTTCTGGTCAGGCGCGCTCATCTCGTAGGTTTTACTATGGGTTTTCACACAGAACAGACAGCGCTTCCCCTCCCTGTCTGGAATAGACTGAAACAAAAAAATGTATGTAAGTCACAGCGTTGGTTGGTGAAGAGTTAAACATGCTGAGTTTTCCTCACTAACCTCTATGACACAGTTCTGATCCAGCTGGATCTCCCCTCTCTTGTCTTTTAAGTCCTCGCTGACATAGTAGGCCATGGAGGAGGGCTTCAGCACAAACCAGCGCTCAGTCCAATTCCTACGCACATGCCCCTTTTTCCACATGTAACCCTGCAAAACAAGGGATCAATTGAAGAACAAAGAAAGACAAAAATGTCAAGGGAGCAGTCAAATAGGCTCCAGTGACACAGCACAACTCACTCTCTTGAGAACGCTGTGATAGATCTCCAGGAACACCTCATCTAAAGCCAGGCTGAAGGCCTCAGCGCTGGTGACGCTCAGCAGCCGGCCTGCACTCATATCCTCCAGGAAGGTCCACACGGACATTCCCTCTTCCCACACTGTAGCATCCTGCGATAGTAAGTCCTCCATGGGCTTCCCATCCCACTCCTCGCTCATCGCAGTGGAGATTTTCTTGAGGAGATACTCCACCTAGAAGCATTCAAACATTTGTATACGAAACTTTTTGCACATCGCGAAAACCAAATATTAACGGCACCGACAATGCAAATACTGACTCAACACAGATTGTATTCTGTGGTTTTGGGATATCACTCTTCATGAGGAGCTCACTGAGTGACTTCTACAGAAGCCGTTTATTTTTATCTCTGTCGACAGGAAACCAAAAGCATTATGGAGGAAGTGCAGGAAGGAAGAGCCTCATTAACTAACTTACTTGCACTTGTATTTTCCTACTGAGAAAATCTTTAAACTGTCCTAACTCTGTCATCACACACAAATTATATTTCTTTTTGGGTATTTGGGTATAGCAGTGTCTAAAAACTACAAGCGTTGCTGGTGTTTGTTCCTCTAACTCTCTTAAATTGTTTCTTTTAAATCAAAAGTGAATTGTCTAACTTTTTGTACAATGTGTGTCCATTTTTCCATTTATAGCATACAAATGACTTAAAATATAATCACTGTGGATTTGAGCCTTTTCAAGAAAGCCCTAATAAATCAGGCCTCAATCAGTTGCCTAAAATAAAATCCTCTCCAACTTTAAGTGTTTCTACAAATTCTCAGTGAACACATTTCACTCTCCTTATTCTTCATAACTATTACCTCCTCTGGTATCATCACCAGTGGGTATCGGTCCTCTGACAGAAGGTTGAATAAACAGAAGAGCTTGAAGCAGTCCCTTTCCGATAGCAGTGTCCCCTGTGGCACCCTTCTGAAGTTCTTCTTCATGGTCATTGTCCAGCACAGGTCATCAAATTTCTCCTTATCAAACATCCCCTTTTTGACCTGGAAATGCAAAACTGGAAATGCTCTGAACTGAAACTAAAATTGCACTTTTTAAAACAGTTTTACATAAGATTATTTGTTTCCTGAGGGGTGTGTTACGAAGGAAGTTCAACACTGCCTGGCTTTCTTATCATGACACTGGTTATCATCTTTCTCGATTAACTCACGCTTTCTGCTTCAATCTCTGTGCACACTTATATAAAATGGGACTCGACTGAGCACTGCGTGCTGCAGTCAGAAGAAACGGGTTACAAAGATCTCTAAAGTTTATATAAATATAAGAGTAAAACACAACACTGCTGCTGCAAATAAGACTGACTGCTTCAGAAAATCATTAAGTTACAATAACTCAGCTACAACTCTTAACAGTGTAAAAAAAGGACTTCAGCAGCATTGGCATCAAGCATAAAAATATCACCAGCTGAGTACATGGAAAATCCTGTGACAATGTGACACACATTTCCACTGCTATGTTGCTAGTGAGGTGCACTCATTTTGTTAGATACACCTGTTTGGCTTCTCATTAACACAAATATTTAATTAGCCAGTCACATGGCAGCAGATCTATGCATTTAGGCGTGTAGATATGATTAAGTAAAGACGACCTATTGAAGTGCAAACTGAGCATCAGAATGGGGAAGAAAGATGATTTTAGTGACTTTAAATGGCATGATTGTTGGTGCCAGATAGTCTATGTCAAAAAACTGCTGATCTGCTGGGATTTCCCCACACAGCATTCTCTGGGGTTTACAGAGAATGGTCAGAAAAAGAGAAAACATTGAGTGGTAAAAAATCCCTTGACTGCTTCAACAGTGATTGAAATAACTACTCATTACAACAAAGGTATGGAGAAGAGCATCTCTGGATGTACAAAACAGTCAAACATTGAAATAGATGGGCTACAGCAGCAGAAGGCCACACTTCTATCAGCTAAAACAGGAAACTGAGGCTGTAATTCACACAGGCTCACCGAAACAGGACAAAATATAATTGGGAAAATGTTTTCTGGTCAAAAAGTTTTGATCTCTGCTGTGACAAGTATTTTTTGTTGATGTAATAGTGGTGGGAATACTTTTTTGACACACTTTTACCCCTGAGTACCAACTAAGAATCACTGAAAGATTGCGGCCTACCTGAGAGTCACTGTAAAAAGAACCCAGCTGCGCTATAAAAACTGAAAAAGTCCCAGTGATTTTCTGCCAGTACATTTTCTGTTTTTTGAGAGAGGTTTTCATAAAGTGTAAATAGTCAAATTCAACATGTGCTTAAAAAAAATTACAGTTTTTTTTGTTTGTTTGTTTGTTTTTGCTGACCATATCCACCCCTTTATGACCACAGTGTACACGTCCTCTGATGGATGCTTCCATGCTCCATGTCACGAAGCTCAAATAATCTCAAACTGGTTTCTGTAACATGATAAAGAGTTCACTTGAATTAAATGGCCTCCACAGCCACCAGATTTCCATCCAATAAAGTACCTTTGTGATGTAGTGGAATGGGAGATGTGCACCAACTGTGTGATGCTATCATGTCACCATAATCTCTGGGGAATGTTTCCAGCATCTTGTTGAATCTGTGCCGAAGGTTTAAGGCAGCTCTGAAGCACAGTGTGACTATTAGGCTAGCTAACACGTACCGGTATTTCTTCAGCAGAGAATGTTGGGCTTTCAAAACTGAAACTCTGAACATAAACTGCCCGACCACGTTACGGTCTCAGCATAATGTCAAAAGAGAGTCGACCTTTGTGTCGCTGGAATGTCTGACTTTAAGATCACGATAGCCTGCCAACTAATCTCGCTTTGTAATCTTCATTTCTGGTTGTAAGCAATGTAACAATAGTTACAAACAAAGAAAAACCTGACAAAACAAAACCCAGGGGGTTTGACTGAACTGTTAATAAAGTACTAGCTGGAAGTATTCAGGCACAGCTAGGTTAAATTAAAGGGAAAATGTAAAATAGATATAAGGGCTATATTTTCCTCATCTCAATAAGTCCAAAACCAACAACTAGTCGGTTCTGAATTTCTTTTTAAGTTAGCCGGGTACTGTAGGTTTTTGCAAGTGTTACTAGAAACGGAGTAAATACTGCATGAAATGGGAATGTCATTCAACTGCAGATCGGCACACAGTACTGCACGACCAGCTGGCACGCAATGTAAACATAAACTTAAGTTAATGATCGTGGTAATGAAGGAGCATGAGATCGAGGGTAAAGGTACTGCTCAGTGATGTGTTCGTAAGAGTTTTGAACAACATAAATACAAGTATAACTGCAGCTGAAGGAAAACCCTTTGCATAGATTGTATTTTTTACATTACCTTATCCAGTATGTATTTGCTGAGGTAGGGCATGTAGCCATGATTAGACACTGGTCCATCATCATCATCCTGGAAATGCTGCTCCAGAGCAACGGGATCGTGTGGGATGTTCAACACTGTGTACAAGTTGTGGGACAGCACCTGGAGAATTCAAACAGACATACAGCATAAGTGGATGGATAAAACTAAGCACAACTCCCGCACACTCCCTTGTTTCTTCACATATCAGCAAACAAACGCTCACAAGCACAGGCAGCTAGTCACCAGTGAGTAAGCATGTCAGGGCAGCTTTCTGCTATTTCCCTGGATTCTTCTAACCAAGAGGGGGGGTCAGTTAGGCATGTAGGGAGTGGAGGGAAAGCAAGTTAACAGCCAAAATAAAACCTACCGAGGGGAAAAGAAGGCAAAACATAATATTCGTCTTTTATTTAGAAACCCTGACAATTTTGTGTGGTATCAAGGCCATGATAAGGTTGGACTTTCACCTCCACTCTGAACAGGCTAAACGTCTGTTAATGTCTGAAAAGATCTGGATTTGAGTGCGAGCTTTTAATCTGTCTGCGTGTCTCATGTTCCTCTGATTACAACACGAATTCACGCACAGGATGCCACCACACGTACACACCACTACGTTTGAGTTCTGACTTTAGACAGAGTCGAAGTGATGACCAAAGTAAAACTGCAAGAATATAAAGCGTTTGTGTTTGTCTCTGTGCTCTCTCCAGCGGACGCCCCTCGGTCTCAGTTTCCTGATCTTAAAAACGTCTCGCACTAAAATTCTCCTTACCTTTAACTGCGACTTGGAAACTTTCCCGCACTTCTCCACGTCCAGCGACGTGAAAGCGTACCAGATGGACTTCAGGAGTTCGGATTTTAGGTCCATTTTTTGGAGACCGCCGGGGACGCGCAAAACTACATTTCCGAAGCGGTGCGCAGCGGCTTTTTACGCAGCCACGGGTGAGCGCCCGTGTGGTGAGAACAGCCAAGCAAAATGTGGAGCAGAGCACTCACTGCGGTGCAAACGACAAAGGCCCAAAGTATCAGATGTGGTGCAGACTTAAAGAGGCGGAGAGCCGAAACAAAACCTGGAGCACCACACGGTCCTCCTCCCTTCTCATAATTCAACAAAACGATCTAAAATAGTGGGGGGAAAAGCAGACATGGATAGATCTCGACAGTGTGAAAACATTTACGTGATGATTTCACACTACATGTATTCACAGAACTGTATCTAAGGTATTTCTCCTGATAGGATGGGCTCCAGAATTCCTCAACGCACTGCCAAAAACCAAAACCAAAGAGGAGGAATCCTGTTATCAGATTCAGGAGACTTGCTAAAGGACACACCCATCTTGGTAAAGAGCCCAAGGCCACATTTGTTTGAGTAGGTTAAAAATCTTAAAGGTTTGGGGGTGCCACAGTATGTAGATTGTGGCAAGGCTGAAGCACTTGAGCTTAATATTAGTAGTAGCAGTAAATGTTTTATTATTTAGCTCAGTGACTACGGATTATTTTTCCACGTTTCATGTTGTGTTTATGTGCATAACTTGCACACATTGCAGACATTTATTTTTGTACCTGATGAGCCTTTGATTTCATGCAATGGCGTTAAAAAATCGTGTATGCTGGGTTCAGACCTTTGATTCAATTCAAATGGACTAGAAATAGAGCATAAAAAGTTTGGCGTTTGTCTGAATTCAGGTGTCTAAATCTCTCTCAGAGCTCCTCTTTGGTTTGATTAAACTGGAGGTGGAGGCATGGCCTAACCTCGGGCAAAATAGGATACAACAAGCACAGCCTAATCAGACAGAAACCTTATTAGAGCACAATGTAGGCTAATCAATAGCATAATTAGGTCATGAAAATGGTTGTCATTGTTCAGAGGTCATAGCCTAAAGTCTCTCTACATCTAACACTCATAGATGTTGGTTTTAAGGTAAATGTGGGGGTAAAGTATGAAAGACTTGATCACAATTTCTATTTCCATAATTTATTATTTTGTGCTCCATTGACCAATCAATGCTGGCTCAGGGTGCTCTGTTTCATCACCCTCAGCTGTGCATATGCTGCATATGCTGCACTCTGTTATCTCCCTTCAAGGGCAGATCTAATCACCATCGTCTCAGGTGCACAGCAGAAATGAGAGGTCACTCAGTTAGCAATAATTCAGATTTACGTGGCCAGAGGTCCCAGCCATGATCTACTTCTCAATGCAATGAGAATTTCCTGCTCTGGCACACCTCCAGCATGACCTTCCCAACGAAATAAAGACATAGAGCTGCTTCTATAGCTCTTTAAAATGCATGCAAAAGGTTCCCACATTAAAGATGAAGGCTATAAATCAACATTAAAGAGAAAGAAAAACACATTAGAACCCCAAAGAGCTTCACAACATGTTTATTATGCATCAATTCTTCATTACCAGAATTTATACATTTAACATAATCGAGGGTAGAAGACTGTGGCAATCAACATTATATCCCATATTTAGGCAAGTGTTTTCTTTGTTTATTGTTTACATAAATAGTTTACAGTGTAGGTCATGCTTGCTTGCAGAGCTGGTAATCATATACCAGTTATGCATTATTAAATAGGGAACGTTTATCATATATTACATTAATAAGAACAATAAAAAGGAAGAAATTTGGAGATGCACCATAATGAGAAGGCTGAAAGGGTTTCATATAATTTCAGTGCATAGTAATACTAAAACATGTACAATAAAACACATTCACATTCATCTTATTGAAATACTTTCTTTATAAGGTTGCATATGTCTCACAAGTATAATGCTAAGCTAAAAATCTAAGAAGAAGAGCAAGACAAATGTTTATATAACCCAACTTTTTGCTGTTGCTTGTTGTTTCATGCCAGTAGTGCGTGTTTCTAGTCATACCTTTCAATGATGTGCTTTGGAACAACACAGTGACATCTGGAAGAAACTGATCAAAAGCAGTCATAATTGAATAAACTCTCTAACCAAAGCTCTCGACACAGTGGAAATTAGTACGCACTACTGGGTGTAAAAACAACACAAAATACCAGACAGTAATATTAATCTCTTTTTAAAGCACCAAAACCAGCACAGAGTGATCTCTGAGATGGGAAAACTAAATGAAGTAGATACAAACATCTGTGAGCACAGCCAGACTAAACGATCAAAGTGGAAAACAGCTGGTGAACATTCCTGTGCATTTAGGACTGAGGTGTGCCAGAGGTGAAAAGGTCCAAGGATCAAGTATGTAACACAGAGAGGTATATTATTTCATGCCATCATTTAAACATTTCTTAATTAATTCATACAGCAAAAAGGAGAAAATGTCTCACTGTACTGCCACCGGGTGAGATCTGAAGTCTGTTACGCAAACCCAGTTGTTCCTACGCTGTTGCATGTAGCACAAAAAACATTACATGAGAAGACAACCTCCATTATTCATGCTGAGGCCAGTGAGTGTAATACAGCTGCAAAGGCAAAAGTGACGCACAAAAGTAGTAACTTGACTGAAACCGCTGAAGGATAATATAAGAACATCATTAAAGTTGCAATATGCATTTTTTCCTGTAATACTTCATTTTAAAGTAAATATTAACTACACAATGATCAGTTTGGTAATCTATAGAGTGCTCAGCCCCAAGGTATTAAATTTTTCAGGAAAATGCCCGATTTTGCAATGCAAAGAGGAAAAAGAGCATATTGACTTCCCTGGCAGCTATCTGTAGCTTCCCTCATCTAGCTGTAAAGAAGGACAGTGAAGGAATTTAAGCAATGTGCTGGATTTCTGAACACAAGTTTGGACCTTTGACTGTTTTGTCAAAGAATCACGTGTCATATGTTTGAGTAACTTTTAGTGTTATATAAGTCCTACAAATTCCTGGGGGTTTTCAAACTTCCCAACTCAATTAAACCCAAATGGCCAATCCACCAGCTAGCCTTATTAATTAAGTATTAATGTGCTACTACACGTCCATGCTGTCTCGGTGCCAGTTTATTGGCTAACAGACAAGCCAGGGCAATGCCTCCAATCTGTGTGAAGGCTAACCCCAGCACAGTAGCAGCAATATGGAAGACATTGTCATTGACCAAGCTGAAGACTTTGCGGAAGCAGCCATGCGGATGGATCCCCGCGGCAGCCACACCGTCACCGTCATCTGCCAGAAGAGGCCGATTCTTGCAACCCTTTCGCCTCACGCAGCAGCTGTCGGGCAAGGAAACCGAGGTGCCGTTCTCAATGGGCAGGAAGTTCATATGCTGGATAGCCCAGTCAGACACAAGCCAGTCGCGCCAACCGTCAGCTCCACAACACTTCAGAGCCCTCTGAAGGCTGTCTAGAGCATCAGCACGGCCTTCATCCTCTGTGTAGCCCGCCACTGCTCGCTGTAAACCGCTGCGAAATCCACCGGCAATTTCTTCACGGTAGAAGAGGCCCGAGAGTCCTGCTGCCAAACCGGCTACAAGTGCAGCAAGCTGAAAGAAGCCGTAAGCCCTTAGCACGCAAGGCAGGTTTGCAGCCACCCCCAGGCAACCCAGGAAGCCCCATGCTGTGATGGCCGCACCTGTGGACAGAAGGATGAGCGGGGCATTGGGGTAGCGGTTGGCGGAGAGCATCATGTAGTCTGCCAGGGAAATTTGAGCCCACACACCCAGTGTGAAGATAGCCAGTCCAGCTGCCCAGAAGAGGCAGCTGAAGGCTAGGAGACCCAGACGCAAGAGGTGCATGACTCCCACGGAATGGCAGCAGGGTGGGCCAGCACCCACAGGTGGAGGAGCAGGGGGCGCCAGGGAGGCTTCTGAGCACACGGACAAGGAGAGACGCTGCTGTTGCTGCTGCTGCTGCTGCAGGCTGAGGTGCTCCTCTTGACCTTGGTATGGAGGCAGCAGGTAGCAAGGGATGGCAGAGGGTCGACGAGGAAGAGGAGGCGGAGTCAGCAGGTCAAGACTCCGTGAAGACAGTCGTCGCACAGCTAGCTGCTCATGCTCCCAGTCCAAAGCTTGTCTGCTGGGACTCGGCCGAGCCGACAGCGAGTCGTAAGGCAGTGCACTCATAATCCTGGCTTTATCTACTCACTTCTCTCTCCGTTACACTCTCCCTCTCGCCTCCTTTTTCTCCTATCAGTGCCTTCACCCTCGTCCTCCTGCAACACACACAGCCGTTCTCCCAAAGCTTTATGACTGTTTATTAATCCGCCACCAGCAAAACCATTGCCAAATGGACTGTAAATCACACTGATGGGTGCGCGTTGAGTCGTTATCTGCATCCGCAGCTGCCTTGTTTCCACCTTATTTATCTGTTTATTCTGAAGGTTTTTTCCACCTGCTTGGTCACCAGTCCTCCAAAGTCCTCCGCTGACAGTCACATCCCGACATCTGCCTGCTCGCCGCTGCCCTGATCAAGAGAAGAGGTGATTGCAGGGGGAAATGACCGAGAATCAACCAATGCACACCCTCTCTCGGTGTGGAGGAGCCATCCCTTTGACTTTTACAGTTTTCCATTTGTAGAATAAATGATTCCAGGATAAGTGCAGTAAAAGGTTATTTTTAAAAGCTTAAAAGACCCTTAGATACTACATATTGTTTTTAAAAATACAAACAAGTCTATTCTGCTTCATCAGGACTGCACTGGTGTTATTATTGTAGCACAAAAACACTGATATTTATGTATTTTAATGATGTTCAGTAGAAAAAACAAACAAAAATATAAAGTGAGTAAAAGGCAAGTTAAAAATAGAAACCCACTACCTCACCCACTATTATTCTGCTTCAGTTAGTCTCCCATTAATATGACAGGGACATTTTTATTCTGGTGACTCCTGCTTGGCATGCCCTCTCCACCAATCACCTACCTGCCTAGTCAGAGCTAATGAAAACATCTCGGTTAATTAACCACATTCAACTTCCTCTTTTTATAAGGATAACCATAATACTGACATGATGACAGAGAGGGAATACCCAGAAAAAGTGGCAGGAGAAGACTGATCTCATTTTGTGGCAGTTTGGGATCTAAGCCAGTTTTGCTTTTTCTTCTTTTGTTTTTATTTTTATTATTACACATCATTTCAAACTTCCCTGTTGAGGGTGCTTTTACATAATACAGGCTTATTTTTTTAAATCAAAATTTCTGGAAGAGCCTTGGCCTTTTTAGTAATGAGCCTCTGAATTGTCCTAGAAATCTTTGCAGAGATAATGTTTTCCTAATGCTGATTTTAAAAAAATTTTTTTTCTTTAAATCTTAGAGAAATTGTTTTGGTGTTTGAAATACTTTTACCAAAGTATAAAAAATTACAAAAGCTGTGGACTACATCCAAAAAGAAAAAAAAAAAGATTTGAATATCGTTGAATGTCGTTCTACTTTTATGAAATTTTAGTGGGACTGGGATAAAGTGAGACTGACTGGTGACTTCAAACATTTTGTAATTTATAGGATGTTAAAAATGGCCAAAAATCTACACACCACTTACTTCTTATAAAATATAAATCTTTTCATGTTTTCGACCATCACGCCAAGTGGCCATCTGCACGCAGAGAGAAACATAACACAGCCAATCTCAGATCTCCTGGGAGCGCAGGAATGTGACACATGTTTTGTCACGGCTGCCGAGGCGAGCTGTGTGGTGTTGGAGGAAAGGAGGACCCAAAATGCAGGTGATGACTCATGATTCGAGTGATGTTTATTTACAGGGTGGTGTAGTGGCAAACAGGCAGTGAGGGATGACAGGGAACTAAAGAAACCTAAACTGGAAAAACGAAATAACAAACCTGAGAACATAAGAAACGGGGAGCGAGGCAGAGAGC